GCCCGAAGGAGGACATCTGTCATCACTCATTTTAAATCTCTACCATCATGTATCGTCCCCCAATAGCATACCGGCAGAGAAAACTTGCAATCACACATAAAGTGATAAATCCGCCTGTGTCAGCTATGCAGCACCAATTTAGACAAGTACTACAAAATGAGAAATTAAAGCTATGTGAAATTTAAAAATGCGTATCCGAAGGAGGTCTTCCGTCACGCTTAATTTTCAATCTGTTCCCTCATACGTCACTTGCATATAAAATTGGTATCGTACAATCACACAATTCGACAATATGATAACACAATAGGAGTGTCTGGTTACTTTTCCAGTAACATTTATTCAGTAAGTTCTAGTTCAGAGAGTAAGCCGTTTTTACTCTCTTTTGCGATAGTACTGAGAAAAGTAAACAGACAACATTTAGTAAGATTTAGCAAATAAACAGCTGATTCAAGAAAACATTTGATTTGCGCCAAAATAAACAAACAAAGAACAAACACAATTATTTGTATTGCATTTAATATTAAAAATAAAATGAACATTAAAAGAAAAATTGATTTGGTATGTTTCCCGGGAACATTTAAGCTTCCTGCATCAATACATTGCCCTCTAACTGGAACTTGCCTAAAAATATATAAGGAATTAGTTTCTAATTTAATGAAACTTTGCATTACTTAGGAATTTTCTTCCATTTTCAGTTATTTTTATACAACTTAACTTCAAATTGAACTTTGCAAATTAAAAAAATGTTTTGAATAGTTTTTGTGTTTTTGGTCATAAAACAGTTGATCCAAAAATGCTGAGTTTGCAAAATCTTACTGCATACAATTCTTTCAGTAAACTCATGATGCAATAATAAGGTGATGTATACCAACAAAAACCTTTGTTTTTGTCTCGATTTCATTGTGCCATGAGTAAACTCCAGTAAGTTTGTTGTTGTTCAACTGTCAAACTTGCTCTCCCACTTGACTCTCTTTTACTGGATTTTTGTGTAAACAGACAACATTTGGTAACAATTGTTACCAAATATCGAATAAACAGACAGAGCTAATATTGACTCTTTAACATACCAAGGTACTGCGTTTTGTATGTATAATACCATAACAGCTTATATACCAAAAATTATGAATAAGGATTGTGCTTCAAAAACCTGGAAAACGGTAATGAATATTTTCAAAGTCACGTCAAAGGACCAACTATTCAATATTTTAACGTGGGAAAAACTCAACAATGAATTAAGGACTAAGGGAGAAAAATGCCGAATATGGACATTATTTGTAAAATACTGTATATTTTACCCTCTTTACAGCCTTGCCTAAAATTCAACTAGCTCGTTCGACGTTTTTCACCACAAAAGTAGAACACATGTATTTATATGAATGTTACCGAAATACGTCGAACCATGGTATAATAAAAAAAGGTAACAGCAAGTGTTGTTGTACAAAAAACGATACAACAACCACATAGAAATTTGTTGTTGTAAGTTCTACTAGTGTCAACTCATTTGACAGAAAAATGTAAACAAACAAACAAATTATTTTTATTTTGAAAATTAAATATTTTCGAATCCTCAAAATAAAAATTGAAAAACATGAATGAAAATCTATCAAATTTATATTTCTATCGCTTCCACATCTTTCCTATAATTGAGCCATTGCCACTTATATGTGTAAAACATATAAAAATGCAGGGAATTGAGAGTTATTCCATGAAGAAAGATTTGCTTCCCCAAACTTTCCCAGCAGGCAGATTGAGTAAATTGAATACGGGACCACATTTAATAAAGAACAATTACAAATGGTATGCGTTCCCAATTTTCCTGTTGGGTGATTTTTAAAAACATAATTTGTCAAATTCATATTGACACTAGTATTACGTTGGAATCAAATCAGCTGGGATTTGCTGTTACCTTTTATAATTGTACCATGACGTCGAACGTACAAAATTTCAAGTTGAACAATTTCAACTTTGACAGAACGTATTTTTCATGTTTTTTTTTCTTTTGTTGAAACAAAACCAAAACATACTGGAAACTCGAAATTTCGAATGGAAACTAAAAGCACGTGGATTAATTTAATAAATTTTCAATTTTGTTTTGCGGTTTGTATTATTTGCTTGAAGATATGGATTCGACGTATTTGGGTAATACGGCCGTACTCAACATTTTGCCATAGTGGGGAAGTTGAATATTTTTGTACGCCCCGTCGGATTTTAGGTAACGTTGTTATTCCGTTCAAGTTGGATGATATCTAATATGCAAAACTTTCACCGTTTTCAATAATACAGTCGACTCCACTTTACTGTAAGTCGCTTAACTGAAAAATATCGGATAAGTGAAATAGATTTCCTGCACGATTTTATTTTAGGTTAGTCACCCACAATTTACTCCGGATAAGTGAAACTTCGCATAACTGAAAATATCGGATAACTGAAATAAAGTTTGGAGTCAAATATTGCAATTTCCTTTGAAATCACTCCGCATTACTGAAAGTCATGCGGATGAAAGACAATTACAGAGTAGTTTACAAAGCCCACCATAACAGATATTTTTCTGCAATTATTGATTATTACCGACTATGGAACGTGCGTGTCAACTACATATAAATTTGACGTCGAAGAACGTTAAGTTTGTCCGGCCAAACTTTGAAAGGAACTCAAGAACGCCGTTCCACATTTCTATAAGAATCAAGATGTATCCATGGTATAATTATTACAATGCAGGGCACAGCTACCAACTGATTACAATTTTTTTCTCAAAGTGGCTTGTTCCATCAAATCAAAATACATATTTTGTGTATGTGTTTGTAAATTGAAATATATTAAAATTTAATTGAAATGAAAAGTATATTTTTAATACGATTGTCTGGAAGTAATTACATTGTTATGGATGAAACAAACATTTAATGGTATTCCCTACTGGATTTTGGGAAGAAATCTAACCTTTCATTCATTTTTCGCGTTTTTAGTTTTGTGTTGAAAAAATGTCAAATAAATACAAACACTTGTTGCGTGTATTTATTTTATTTTTGGCAGAAGAAGCCACACGTGCATAGTTGCTTTTTTGTTATTCACCTCAAGCTGTCCTACCTTGTATTATATTGTACCATTTAACAGAATGTATCGTTCACAAGCGAAATGCCAATTTGAGTAGGTTGTCCTCTTGTAACTACTCTAAGTGATCATTTAAAGCCTACAAGAATAGATGATATAGGAATAATATATAAATGTGAATCTATTATGAACAGATTTAGCAAGGAGATATGTTAGTCATTTCTATCTATATTAGTAAACCTCGGAAAATATGGATTATTGAAATTTCTAAAACTGAAAAATGTTTCGCTTATGAGAAGTTCGGATAACTGAAAATAGTTTCAGTTAACGGAACTCCGCATAATTGAAAACATCGGATAGAAAGCGGAGTCGACTGTAATATGCCAGCATTATTTGTGAGGACTGCTGTTTTCCTTGTAAGAATAGGTATTTGGTAAAGAACTGTCGAAAATGGATTGATGATTGATAAAGAACCAAGAGTATTATATGGAAGTGATTGGTGAATTGCTATAGGAGCCCCAAAATATGCCACACATGATTTCAAGGGGCTTTCGAAGAAACAGCTGGAAAAAAGATTATTATTATAAACTAAATGAAATTCGTTTTAATTTTTCGAGCACAGAATCAAAATTCCAATAGTAGTTTCAATTCAAATTCTACGTCTATGTTTCAACTTTGTGCTGATCGGTGGCAAGACAAATGCCATCTTTTAGACAAACTAAAAGATTTCAATATAAATATTAACTTGGAAAATAAAATTGTTGATCCTTGTATTGATGGAAAATCCACAGACGGCTGTGCTCCAAATCTACGGACATATGGACTCGAGATGGAAAATCTAACCGGGAATGCTGAAAGGTTAATAAAATATACAATCTTAAACATGACCAAACAGCCAAAGATTTTCATAACAGCCTACATGGGCTTTGGAGGGTCTTAGGATGGGCCTCACGAACCGTGTATTATATAAACAGGCGATAGTCGACGAAAAGAAATCAGTCATATGTACTTCTAATAAACGCTAGAGTTTCTATTAAAACCAAAAACGTAATTAGTTATAAATGTAAGCCATTTTTGGATTTTAGCTATAAAGGTTTTAGAAAGGCAAAAAGGTCATAATTGACTATAGGTAAAAAGCTACATTTCATCACAAAAGGGCAGAGAAGCTTTTGTGTTATCAAGCTTACTTGCACCACAACCAAGCACAGATATCGACGACTCATCGTGTCCAATTCCAGAAAATATAAAATTAGCAATCCAAATCATTGGAACATGTCCGATAAGTCCCCTTCATGTATAAGTTCCCAAAATTCGTATACTATTTCATATTCTTCCTCCACAGTTTTGATTAGGCCAGTTTTCTTTTTTTGTTTTGTATAATTATTATGTATATATATATGTAAATAATTGATTTATTATATATAGTTACTTTGCAGAGTTTGAGAGTTAAAACAAAACAAAATAAATAAACAAATAAGCAAGCCAACAACAAATAAAACAAACAAATATTCTTAAAAAGCGCTTAATTTCTAGCACCATTATTTAGATATTTTGTTTTGTTTTAACAAAGTCCAATATTTAAAATTTTGTGTATATGTATAATATTATTTTTTTTTGTTGTTGTTTGTTTTGGTTTTATGGAATAAAAAATTATTGTTTAAAACTTAAATTTGATTATTACTCTTTTGTTTCTTTTTAAATATATATGTTGTATAATGTATGTGTGAATGTTTGTTTGAATAAATATTACGAGTCTCTCTTTTGTATCCTATACATGTATGTACATGCATGCATGTACTTTTTGCGTCTTTTACTACATATTATTATATTCTTGTTTTGTATATAAAGCATATTCTATATTCCATATTTTCAAATGTATATTTCTTCGGGTTTCTTCTTCAGTTTAGTTTTCAAACCACTTGTCTGTTAAGTTCAGTTAGTTTGTGTTTATTTTACTCTTGACCATTCGTTTGTTGTTGCTGCTGTTCATTTGAGGATGAAGTGACACACTGAATGTTAGATGATGTTGCAGTATTGTCGACATTGTTGTTATTGTTAAAACATTTTGGTGCATGCAACAAATCGGTGTACTGTAAGAGTGCCTCCCTCAATGACCGCGAAACTTCGGGTGATGTTGTTGTTGTACAATCCACCAAATATGGATAAAGACCAATTAATTGATCCCAGGCGGGTTTATTAACTGTAAAATTAAATTAATTGGATTATAATTTAATTAGATTTTTGCTGTTAGTTATTTTTTGGAGGTGTACCAACCTTTAGATGCAGGCGCCTTTTTCATGGATATGACCAATGTGGCAATGGCTTTTAAAACAAATGAAATTTCCGATAGACGGAATCTGAAAAATAGAATGAAGTAGAAATAGTCATGAAACGTGTATTTCAAAATTAATATGCTTCAGTCCCTTCATCTGAAATAGTCACTGAATCTTATCTTCCTTCTATCAGAAACGAACTAATAGCAGTTGCTCCTACAAGAAGTGTATTCATTTCAAGACTTAATTGTAATACAACAGTGTATACTACTACTATTATTTTGGTTTAAATACACCCTCCTTGTAGTACTCACCTTGGCAATGGGCATTTCCCACTTTGACGTTCATCATCGTTGAAACGTTTTAATACTTCTTGGAAACGATGCAACAATGCGGTCACAGCTAAACGTCCGGCAAAATCTTTACCACCAGCAGCACCACCGACAGCATTGGCAATATTGGCATTTAATGCATTTGCCGCAGCTGTCGATGGACTGGCTGTACTCGTCGATACCGAGGACGACGACGATCGATTATTATTACAATTATCATCTAGCAAGGAAAATTGCAGCAGAGTTTCGAAACATGTTTTGGCAAATATTTCACGCAATTTCCAATCAGATTCATAGCAAATATTCGAATCAGATGCGGAATGTATGGAACCTTTGTTGAGTAGTACAACAATTTGCATTATAAATTGATGAGGCATTTCATGGGCGTAAGGCAATACTTCGTCACGTAATAGTTCAATAACTTGACAGTCGATTGTTTCATCCAAGACGATTTCTTCAAGGCCACGATCTTCAATGGTGCAAACACTGAAAAAGATAATTTTCTGTTGGCATATTTTCTTCTTCTGAGGAACAGTTTTACGAATTACCTTTGAGGAAATAGGAATTTATCAAGAGTATCAGCTAAATCATCCCACATGCCGGTGAAGTAATTCGATTTCGCTCTGGCCACCTTAAGACCTGTGTGCAGTACAGTGATTAAACTTGAAATGGCCAATTTCCATGTACTCGAAGATAAGCATTTATATTTCATGGCCAAGGGAGTTCTTAAAGCCTGCAACAACAAGTTCAACATTATTAGATACACTTCTAAATCATTCATCTTCGCAAAACATACCTTAATTATTTCATGCAAAATATGTTCCTGCATTACAGATTCTTCGGTAGCCGTACACTGATATAGTTTTACACAAATACTAATCGATTTCTCACCAAATGGTATATAATTCATGCTGACAACTTCGATAGAACTATTATTTCCGCCATAGTGATTCGTTGTCTTGGAATATTTACTATGTTGTTCTCCAATATGCAGCGATGGAGGTGTACAGGCGAATTTACTGAATACCAGTAATTGACGGAATATTGCAGGAATCATGTGACTTAAATTGGAATCTTCTTTGGTAGCCTCCTAGTTTGAAAATTTAATTTCAAATATTTTTTTTATTTTGACTATTGATTTTGGAAACTTACCTTTTGGATTAGTTCCATACATTCGAGTATACTATCATGTAATGGCGTTAGTAATGAATCGGACACTGAGGACATTATATAAGGAACTGCTTCGGTTTGTACGGGTATACAAACGGCGTTAGTCAATACTGTACAGAATTTTTCAAAATCGGATTGTTTGAATCTGAAAAAACAAATCAAAAACAAAAAAATAAAATTATAGTCAACAAAGTCTGTAGTCGGAAGTACTCGAAACTACGAAGTTATTTAACAAAAATGTCTGCTAGATTATTGATTGGAACAAGAAGCCTTCCCACGACATAAAATAATAATATAACCTCTATTCCTATATATCGCCTCGAAAAAATAGTTTATCCAAAAAAGCGAAGATATTTCTCTGGCTATACAAATCAGTATGCCCCCATCATATCAGTGGCAGACCTACCTTTTTTGTATATGTTGAAATATTGCGGGAAAGATTTGTATTAATGCTGTCAAGTACGCTTGGCTGGGTACATAAAATTCATCCTGCGATGATTCTTGAGATTTTGTCATTTTGGTACTCTCCATGCCGATGTTTAACCAAATCTTCCAAGCAATCTGAAAAAAAGAAGCCACAGATAAAAAAACATTAAAATCTCGAAAATTTTCAAACAAGGTAAATCATTGCATACATTCCAAATTTCCTCATCTTTTAGTTTGGGTTTATCACTACCAGCAGTTGTTGATGATGATTCCGGTTTGTTAATGGCCTTAGGTTCGGAATTATGATACATTATCTCTTGCAGAGATTTCAAAGCAGCCAATGAAACTTCACCATTTTTACTTAGAGCAGCATTTTGTATAAATTCCAAAATTAAAGACCAGGCACGATCGAAATCGCCCAACATTTGTATCAGTTCACGTTTTGTGTTGAAGACCTTATAAAAAATATTTTATATATTTCGAATGCAACTCAAAAAAAATTAAATCTTACCCGACAAACACCGGATAAAGTTAAAACCTGTGTCTCAGCCCATTGTTTTTGAGCTGTATTACGGGAATGATGTATTAGTATGTTGCCACTCGCATCCACCTTTTCATTGCTGGCCGAACTGGAAAGGGCACGCACATTGTCCAGCAGTGGAAATAGAACTTGCCACACCAAAGCCTGCCATGTGGGAGGGTTTAACAGGCTGCCATGGGCCGAAATTGTTGAGAATAATGTTTGCCCAGCAGATTTACGTACAGCAGGACGAGAATCAACACAAAGTTCACCTAATTCAAAAAGAAAATATTTATAACAGTAACAATGGAATTGGTATGGAAAACCCTTACCCAGTTTGGCATACAAGCACATCCACAATTTATCAAATTGTGGCATTTTAACAGTTCCGGGAAAATCAGGCAATATTGTGCTATCATCCACCTGGGCCGACATTAATTTATCTTGATTTTGATTAAAGAAATCAGAAATGTTCCACTATGGAAACGGATAAAAAATTCAAATGTGATTCTTATAGTTATCTGTAAGCGAACATACCATTAAACCAATTGCTGTTAAAGAAATATTCAGTTCCTGGGTTTGTGAACCAAATTTAGCTGCGGTCGAAATACACAAGGGCAAACAACGCCATGGCATCACAGTTAAGAAATCGGTAATAACCAATTGCAGACATTGGAATGCAGTACGTATTAATGGCTCTCCATGATGTTCGTTGACGGCTCCAATAATTTCAATAATGGCAGGCCAGCCAAATGATAGAATTTCTCCAGCACCATTGAGAATTTGTAGAACACAATCTAGCTGACGTTGGCGTACATCCGCATGTGGTACTGTCGATAGTTCCGACAAAGGATTTAAAAGCATCGTTTGAAGATTCTAATGAAGATGAAAAAAGTTAGAATCGATCTATGTTGGTCTTACTTTACACATTGGGTTATTTTACATTGGGCAATTCTTAGTTTGTAGGCGAGAAAAATAAAGGATTACCATTACCCCTCAATTATATTACCAACAAATTATACATACAATTGCCAATGTTAATCAGGACTTCTAATTATCGCGTCAATTCTTACCATATTTTCCTTCAACGGCTGGCTATGCTTATATTGCAATGCCGACTTAACCAAATAGGTAATGGCTTCCACACCCCATTCTCGCATACGTATATGACGATGTTGGCACACTTCCAGTAAATGATTGGTCAAAGGACGCCACAACACCTCTATGCGTGGCATATTAACAAGGCCAGTTTCTAATAGTTTGGCCACCGCAAATAATGAGGGTTCCTAAAGAAAATGACACGAAATTAAAAAATCAAACCAAAATAAATTATATTAAACACCTACCCTATTAGCATATGCCAATTCCATGGCCTCATGTGATAGCTTGCACAGAGCATCAATCAAATGATGCAAAGCCACATCATCCAAATACTGACTCGATTCAAACAACTGACTTAGCATTTGTGATAGCACTGGCAAATCGGCCATAACCGCTGTCTGTATACCCACATTCGCCTCAACGGCTGGTTTAGGGAATGCCTGTAAACTTCCCCCTGTCGATGGTTTCAAACCCAAAATCCAAACCAAATGTTGTAAGGTCTGCAAAACAATATGCCATGATGTACCTAATATGCTACCATTGCTGTGGGCCAAAAACAAAATGGCACGCATACATTGCAAATTTTTCGTCGTCAACATAACCGGTGCCTGCATTACACTATGCGGCAAGGAGGCGCTCGGCAGTGGAGTGCCTACAGCAACAATTTGTTGACGAAAATCGCCCGCTTCATTGCATGAACTCATAAATTGATTATTCAAATCTTGACTATTCGATCGGGTATGACATCGCAGATCAACATCCATATGAGGATTATTGGCAAATATCGACATGGCATAATGGGGTGGGAAAGAGGCCCGACAAATGGCCATAATAAAGGCGTCGCGGGGATTCAAAAGATCCATAATGCCACAGAGGGCGGCATAATTTTGCATAGCTTTGAGAATATTATCGGTAGTGGCCTCATCAATGGACGCATCAACAAGTGGCACAAATGCAGATAATAAACCAGACCAGCTGGAATTGATCAATTGCAGACATAGTGGTTTATGTTCCTCTTCCGTTATGACAGCGGTGTTGTGTGTGGGGTGCTAGAAAAATTAGAATAGTTTTTTGTTTATTTCCCTTCTATTGTCAAAGAAAAAAAAAAAATACCTACCATTTCTGGAGTTCTTTGAATGACCCCACCAATGGAACGAGTTATATCCAATAGAACAGCATATGCTACCGAAATACCATAACTATCGGGAATTTGAGGAGCCTCTTGTTTATCCAGCATTTCGAGACTAAAATGAGGAAGAGAAGCAAAATAGTTAAAGGAAAGTAAAATAAAGAAGTAATGGTAATAAATCAAAGAACATCGTATGCCCTTCTTGTATAGAAAATATGTCAAAAGGATAAATATTTATACGGATTCCATAAATAAGTTAAAAGGAGGCCTTAAAGCATAATTTAATATAGAAGACCGAAGGCATTCTGAAATCTGGAGGAAACGGCCAATTAGTAAAATGTAATATCTTCTTAAAATATCTTCTTCTGAGATCTTTTTCTATATAAAAGAAGGCACTTTCGAATTCTTATTAAAAAATGCTCCTGTGGTTTTTTATCAAAATGCTCCTGTGGTTTTTTTATGCATGAAGGTTTTATTGTTAAGAAAGGCATGTCATCAAGACGCTTCTTCTGGAGACTCTAAACATTTCTTTTAAATAGAAAAATGACTTCAAAATCTTCTTTTATAAGAATACGTCAAAGTTCTCGAATAAAATTTTAACCCTTAAAGTTTATTTTCGATCCCAAACAACCTTTAAGGAATGGAATACACAGGAACTTCTGACATAAAGAATTTTAACATTTAGAAAAATACATTAAATTATTAAAAACAAAATACCGAAGTCCACAGTCAAAGGACACAAAAACTACAATAGAGTATGATACGATTATGATTGATAGTCTAAATATCTTCTTATAGAGAAGATATCCAAATCATACTTACTAAACAGCTTTAGATATACCAGGTGGGAATGTGGCCACCAATGGCATATATGCTCCACGAAAAACGAAACCACATTGATTATTCGAGTTATGTGCCGTCAAAGTATTCAATTGAACAGCACCATTTTGTTGGCCATTAAGTACTAAGAAAAATTAGACAAAAAGAACATCATATAGTGTTTATAAGAAGGGAAATATTCACTTTTCTTTTCTTTGCTACTTACATGCTGCTGAATTAATTAACGAATATCGAACGTATGTACCCAATGCCGATATCATATCCTGTACAATATTTGTTGCATGATTTTTACAATCATACGACTTGCAAAAGAATGCAACCAATGATGGTTTTGTGGCCAACTTATGAATTACTTCCAGTGCCAAAGCGCGTTGCCAATGTGGCTTATCGGGATCTAAGAATTTGATGATTAGCGATAGGAAGATTTCACATTCCGTTACCAATATTGTATGATATTTTTGTATGAGAATTGCCACTAGACGCAACAGACGCATACTAATGGGGAAATATGGTTTATCACTTGTTGTTGTTGTATTGCCATTAGCATTTTGTGTGGGCAATGAACGATGTTTGACATTTGGCGAGAATAGCTTAATGACCAGAGCACAGACACGTTCTTTGAGAAGCAGTCGGAAATCACGATTTTCATGAAAAACTGCACTGAAATTTGTCAATACCGCTTCGAGTAGTTCGAGGCCAAAGGTGCGGGTCATTTCATTCATACCAACAAGCCAAAATGGTGGATCGGCGTTTACCAAATGGACGAGATCCTGTAAAGAAATAATGATGTAAAAATGTATTAGAATTTCAGAGAACTCGCGATGACTGTTAAGATTAATGAAGTATATAAATTAAATGACCGATAGAAGAGTCGTCTAATACTTAGGCAGATTCATTAACAAAAGGATATACGGTAGATCGATGTCAAATCAGTTTGGTGATACAAATCAAATAACTTTTCCTTGGATACTAAAATTGGAATTTCTTACACTCTGTACAAATTGAAAATAATGACCAGAGGGACAAAACGCTAGCGGAGCAAATAACCGAGAGACCCAAGCCGAGGGGAGTAATTATTAGGCCGAAATTACATGTTGCATGTGTAATCAGAAGCGTTGAATTATACATCGAGCATATTTCGGACGGAATATCAATGATGAATGAGCAGGGTGACAATATTTACATGACTTAACACATATGCCAAGGCTATCTTCAATAGGTTCAGAAGCAGGAACATGGCTAGCTGGCAAAACATAAAGTGTTATGTAATTTAAACGAACTCCCTGTGCTGGGCACTTCAATAGTGTATCTCCTTACATCTCCAATAGACCTGTGACTTGGGTTCTATAGAAAGAGCTATTCAATTCGTTACCGGGACATACCAATATCTTCATGATCGAAAATATAGATCTAGAGTTACAAAATGAGTCTCTAGGGATGCCACACAATATTATCACTGATGCTGTTGAAAGTCTTTATTCATCTACGCAACCGAAGCATACTCTGCACTACAAGCGACTGTGTTGGTACCTTCCTGTCGATCACATCCTGCTTTGCCATCATTGTCCATCAACTGTTTAATATCATAGCCCAGATTTTGGGTGAAACATTTGGTGAATTGGGTTTGTAGGAAGGAGAGGAGTTGCGTCATTTTTACAGACTGTCCCTCTGGACGATTTAGACGCTCTCAAACCTTCCTCTGCATTTGTGTATGGGTCCAAGGGTCTCTCGTAATGCAGAGACCGCCCGGAAGTCCTAATTGATTTGATACGAAGTCTCTTACAGTGCTTGAAATTCCTCTTGATTTGAAGCAATTCAATAGTACGTTTTTTGCTCTATGGTAGATCTTTTTGTCTGATATTTTCTTTGTATGAATCATTGAGTGCGTTGGCGAATCGTCCATTTTTAATAAGTAGGAAATTCATCGGCACAATCTCCCTCTCAAAAGCCTCTTGTTATGAGTTTCCATCTCCGCCAATATCGCTAGTCTCTCCTACCAACTTTGGTGATTTTTCTTCAGTTGGAGATGTCACCTGTATTACGTCATCCTCGTCCGTCAAGGGCGATATCTCCTAGAGGTAGGTCGGAAACCGTTTCCTCAATTAAATTGAGGAGAAATAGCTTTCATGCTCGCAAGCTGTGGACGCGTCCGATAGCTATCAGCTTTGCTCCTATAGAAGCTTTCGATCACATTATCACAGTGCAATGTTCAAAACACCACCCACTGATCATCCCTCTGCTGACCATTCTCTCTCAGTAGCAATAGATATCTCAACATTGTAAAACGGAAAATATTATCACCAAATTTGAAAATCAAAATAAAAATTCCCCCACTTCTTGGAAAAGTAAACATTTCCTCATACTCATAGATTAATTACTGCAAGTAGCACTGATAAGAAAAACTAACCATTCACATTAGGTTAGTATATATTAAACATACAATACTACATACCTGAAACAATAGAAAGGCATCTGAAGCAAATGTTGACATTTCACTGGGACCGCCTGATAAGCTTGATACACCACTGCCGCCACCACCACCACTATTACCGCCAACACTTGTAATACTTGTGTCGGTGGCATCAATTTCCACAACATTGCCAGATGCATCTCTTTGCTGAAGATTCGTTAGCGAATCCTTTTCCAAATAGACCCGTTCAAATACCAACGATACCAATTGACGTATTGTGGCCCCAGCTGTATTAACAATCGTGGAATTTTTCGTATAATGCAAACGAAAACACAACACCAATGACTTGGCCAAGGTATCACCATGGACGACTGTGTTTGTGGTCAATAACAGAGTAACCGTTTGTAAAACTTTAACTTCTTCAATATTGTGTTCCATCAACATCCATAGGGCATCGGTGATATAGCGAGCACCTTTTTGATCGACCACCTGCTGGGTGATAAGACGCTGCATCATACCCAAACAAAACTAGGGCAAAGACACGAAAATAGAAAAAAACGAAAAACGATTAGATAAGAAGGTAATTGAATTGTATAGGTTTTGGGGGACCAGCAAAAAAGCACTTCAAAATAAATTATGAAATATCCACATGAATTATAAATATGACTCACTTTGATAATTTTCAAATCCTTCGTTTCGCATCCTTGTACCAATGGATATAATATCTGATTGACTGTATAGTAGACGGATTGTTGTTGATTGCTGCCGGCTGTTGAGAGTTTGGAAATTGCCTCTTCACATGACTAGAAAGACAGAGAAAAAAATAAGCAGAGGGAAACATGAAAAGCAAAGGACGTAACGTAACATAACATAAAATAATGTCAATAGCTAAACGGCTAAAATGAAAGGACAACATGTCTAAGATGCCATTACACAAGTTATATCTGTGTGAGTGTGTGTGTGCGGTCCATGTCATCTCTCTTTTTTTGTTTGTTTGATTTATTTATAAGCTTGCCGCATAACCGCACAGAATAGAACATATTGTGGTTGGTTATTATGTTATGGCATGCCACCACCACCACTAAGGCTACCGCCAAAGATGCTGGGGAAAAAGAATGACAAAGGATTTACAATTTTTATAAATAGTAAATCAAAATGTTTTTCATTTTCTCTATGGGGATTTTGTTGATGCTTGCTTGTGTTACATCAAAGACCTCAGGATATTTATTTATTGTAATACGCAAAGAAATCGATTTGAATACTTGAATGGTTTTGATGAGACGCGACAAGCAGGAAAACAAGAAATTGTATAGTCCGAAGGATGGATGGGTTTAAAAGTATTAAAGGTTTTAATTCAGTATATATTTAGAATACTCGGGCCATTTTAAGATACAGTCGAAATCATTTATATTTTATATGAATTCAGTATATTTAGAATACTTGTGCCACTTTAAGCATCCGAAAAAAACATTTGGTTTTTTTAATATCGCTTATAGTGACCAATTTTGCCCGTCGACACCAGCGATTTCGATTGTAGCTATAATGAAGTGTAATAAAATAAGTAATCACAGAATACAGAGCTGAATACTACCGACAGCCCCCAAAAAGTGTGTATATATTGGAACTGATATATATATATATATATATATATATATCATCTGTAATATAACCGATGTCCAGTATGGTTGACAACAGACTAAAGGAGACAATGCCGATCTCAAATGTTTGGACATAATTGAAGTGAGTTAATATATGTTTAAAAACAGAACGAGTTTCACACATGGTTAGATCGGCGACATTGGCGAATGCTCTACGGAAAATATTACTCCCAGGCGGATAGTTAAAGGCTATCGCATATGGGGAGAGAAGTGGACGTTGGCACCAATTAATTATGTTAGGCACAATACCTGTTTGAAACGCCAGAACTTCGGTCTTCGATTGGGTCATTATAAAATAAACAACAATGGGATGGGCATTTAAAATTGCATCAAAAACTCTCTTCAATCATCAGTTTAAGGCAAGAGATTGCAGATAGTTTCAGGTACATGCAGGATATGCTCATATGTACAATAATCTTTAGATAGAATAGACATACCATCTTTTGGAGGACCATTGAAATGGAATCGGACGAAATTAACCGCGAACATAGATGTTTGAAGTTTATTAAAACAACCCATACACATTCCAATCTAAAATTTTTGAAAACTTGAGCAAAATATGTATAAAATCTATATAAAAATGGACGTATTTGAGCAACCGTGGCATCCACCATTTGGTATGCTGCAATACAGTGCGCTATCCAAAATTTATCTCGACACAAAATCCAATACATTTGGTATGTTGTGTACTAATTCGTCCTAAGCGAACATACTTTAGTTAATTGGTATATCATTTTGATGAAATCAGATAAAAATATATATGGAAGCTATATCTAAATCCAATAATAATATTTCATGTAAAGCGAAAAGACATAGGCTCCTCCATCTGCACCCTTTGCATTAAATCGGACGAAAATATATCTACATCTGAACCGATTTCAAACAAAATATCATGCAAATAGAATAGGGAATAATGTATATATGTGAGCTATATTTAAATCAGGTCGATGTACAAAATGTTGTCTCAATCGGACAAACAATGACAGTATGGTGCACCATTTATATAAAATTGGAGGAAACTATATATGGGAGCTATATCTAAATCTGAACAGATTCCATCAAAACGCATATATCGCATATATCCATCTAAACTTAATTCAGTACTCTGTGCACTAGGACCAATATTGGGAGTTTGCTGCAACATTTACGTAAAATCGGACGAAACTATACATGGGAGCTATGTCTAAATCTGTACCGACTCCAACAAAATTTCGCATACATCAATCTGGACCTAAGTCAGTACTCTGTGCAAAATTTTGTCTCAATCGGAGTAATATTGGCATTATGTACTCCATTTACATAAAATCGGACGAAACTATATATGGGAGCTATATCTAAATCTAAACCGATTTTCTCCAATTTCAATAGGGTTCGTCTTTGGGCCAAATAAGTGGCATGTGTCAAATTACATCCAAATCGGATCATAAATGCGACCTGTACTTTGTTCCCAAAAATACATGGACGGATGGACATGCATAAATCGACTCAGAAAGTGATTCTATGCATATTCTCAAAAGGAACCATGAGTCTATCTCAATTCCTTTTGCTGTTACAAACATATGCACAAAGGCATATGGAAATATCAGTTCTGGTACAATTATTGAAGCAATCGGACTTTGGATGAATTTTAAAAATGTTCATATTAAAACAGAATTCTATTCTTGTATATAGTCCGTCAATTTATGTTTTCTATTTATAGACAAGTCTCAATAACGAAAACGCGTATTATATAATATCATACAGATTATCACTGAAATATAGGCTTCAAATTCCTCTAACAAAAACCCCAAGATTGAAATAAATAGAAAGTTACCGCATGCAACTAACACTCTGTTTTTTAACTTGCTGGTCCACATTACCCGCCCAGTTATTTATTTCGCCGTTGTGATGTTCTTTTAATATAATGCAATAACATTTTTATACCCTTCACCACACTGTGGTACAGGGTATTATGTCTTTGTGCATATGTTTGTAACAGGCAAAAGGAAACGAGATAGACACATGGTTCCTTTTGAGAATATGCATAGAATCACTTTTTAAGTCGATTTATGCATGTCCGTCCGTCCGTCCGTCCGTCTGTCCGTCTGTCCGTCTGTCCGTCTGTCTGTCCATGTTAAATTGTAAACAAAGTACAGGTCGCATTTATGATCCGAATTGGATGAAATTTGGCATAGGTCACTTATTCGCCCTAAGGACGAACCCTATTGAAATTGGGAAAAATCGGTTCAGATTTAGATATAGCTCCCATATATATATTTAACCGATTAAATGTAAACGGTCCCTATGTATCTTTCGATTTGCACGAAATTTGGTACAGCCTAATCATTTAGGTCTAGAATGATGTCTGCCAAGTTTCATGAAAATCGGTCCAGATTTAGATATAGCTCCCATATATAGTTTCGTCCGATTTCATGTAAATGGTGCACCAAAGTCCACATATATCTTTCGATTTGCACGAAATTTGGTACAGCCTAATCATTTAGGTCTAGAATGATGTCTGCCAAGTTTCGTGAAAATCGGTCCAGATTTAGATATAGCTCCCATATATAGTTTCGTCCGATTTCATGTAAATGGTGCATCAAAAGTCCCTATATATATTTCGATTTGCACCAATTTTGGCATAACATACTGAATTGAGCCCAGAATGATGTCTGCCAAGTTTCGTGAAAATCGGTTCAGATTTAGATATAGCTCCCATATATAGTTTCGTCCGATTTCATGTAAATGGTGCACCAAAGTCCCTATATATCTTTCGATTTGCACGAAATTTGGCATAACGTACTGAATTGAGTCTAGAGTGATGTCTGCCAAGTTTTAAGAAAATCGGTTCAGATTTAGATATACCTCCCATATATAGTTTCGTCCGATTTCATGTAAATGGTTTCCCAAAGTCCCTATATGTCTTTCGATTGGCACGAAATTTGGCATATCGTACTGAATTAAGCCTAGAGTGATGTCTGCCAAGTTTCGAGAAAATCGATCTAAATTTAGATATAGCTTCCATGTATAGTTTCGTCCGATTTCATGTAAATGGTGCCCCAAAGTACCTATATATCTTTCGATTTGCACGAAATTTGGCATAACGTACGGAATTGATCCTAGAGTGATGTCTGCCGAGTTTTGAGAAAATCGGTTCAGATTTAGATATACCTCCCATATATAGTTTCCTCCGATTTCATGTAAATGGCGCCCAAAGTCCCTAAATATCTTTCGATTTGCACGAAATTTGGCATATCGTACTGAATTAAGCCTAGAGTGATGTCTGCCAAGTTTCGTGAAAATCGGTCCTGATTTAGATATAGCTCCCATATAGTTTCGTCCGATTTCATGTAAATGGTGCCCCAAAGTCCCTATATGTCTTTCGATTGGCACGAAATTTGGCATATCGTACTGAATTGATCCTAGAGTGATGTCTGCCGAGTTTTGAGAAAATCGGTTCAGATTTAGATATACCTCCCATATATAGTTTCGTCCGATTTCATGTAAATGGTGCACCAAAGTCCCTATATATCTTTCGATTTGCACGAAATTTGGCATAACGTACTGAATTGAGTCTAGAGTGATGTCTGCCAAGTTTTAAGAAAATCGGTTCAGATTTAGATATACCTCCCATATATAGTTTCGTCCGATTTCATGTAAATGGTTTCCCAAAGTCCCTATATGTCTTTCGATTGGCACGAAATTTGGCATATCGTACTGAATTAAGCCTAGAGTGATGTCTGCCAAGTTTCGAGAAAATCGATCTAAATTTAGATATAGCTTCCATGTATAGTTTCGTCCGATTTCATGTAAATGGTGCCCCAAAGTACCTATATATCTTTCGATTTGCACGAAATTTGGCATAACGTACGGAATTGATCCTAGAGTGATGTCTGCCGAGTTTTGAGAAAATCGGTTCAGATTTAGATATACCTCCCATATATAGTTTCCTCCGATTTCATGTAAATGGTGCCCAAAGTCCCTAAATATCTTTCGATTTGCACGAAATTTGGCATAACGTACTGAATTGAGCCTAGAGTGATGTCTGCCAAGTTTCGAGAAAATCGGTCTATATAGCTCCCATATATATATTTCATGTTAATAGTCCTGTTTAATATACCCATAGTGGTGAAGGGTATCATATAGTCGGCCCCGTCCGACTTTACTACTTTCCTTACTGGTTATATTAAAATATATAATGTTAGACAGAAGAAACATATTTCCTTGAATATTAGATTCCAAAGTTCCGCTAAGACCTTATAGTTTGCAATGTTTTTATTCCCTCCACCAAAAAGTGGGTTGCATATTAAAGTTGTCAATCCGTTTGGAACACTTCCAAAAATTCACCTCAGTCCCCATATATATTCTTAATTGGAAATTCTATGCCTATACGTCTGTATAGATATATATAGCAATATTTAAACAGAGCTTTGAAATTTTGCATATACACTGGTGGCCAAAACTAAAGCAACTGAAACTGAATAAATGGCCTGTATCTTTTTGGAAAATAAAGTTGTAGTGAATGTTTTTTTTTTTCAGAAATAAAAAATTATTTAAACAAAATTTATTTTAAAAATAAAATTATTATATGGAGAACTAAAATGACCCAATTTCTTCTTCTTTCTTATAAATAAACAAATTTTGCTACTATTGTCCATTTTTATATTTTTATTTTTAAATCAGACACATGTTATTATAATAAAAACCTTTTAAATATGATCAATAAGAATCGGAATAGGTGTAGAAACCAAAACATAGTAATTATAACGGTAAAAATAACTAAAATTGTAGAGCTCATCTGTTTGGACTGTAAAATATCTTTAGTTTTGTCCATGCAAAGGATTAGGCAATTCCCTTATTCCACAAATTATTATTTATTTCATATTTTTGAAAAAGTTATGCGACATTTATTAACCTGGCAATTTTAGTTGTTTTAGTTTTGGCCACTAGTGTACATTTTTTATCTCATTATCAATACCTAACATCCTAGATGTAGATGTTAGGTATTGATAATGAGATTTATCGGTCCATGGGATTTAACGGTACCACCAAACATTCGCAAATTTTTGTAAAATTAAAAAATGAAAAATAACCCCAAAAATCAAAGTTGACAGATTATAGAAAAAGATGACAGAGGACATACATTTTATATATGACAGCCAGTTAAAATAGATGATTGTCCTCTTAAAAAAGAGGAAGTATGGTCAACTTATATTTTGGCGTTTTGGTAGAAAATATACCTACTAAAAATTTGTGTAGTATAAGCTATGTTGTTTTGTGTAATTTAAATGGGATATTTGGCTTGGTTACTATTCTTAATAAAGTAAAAATTAAATTTGTGGATATTGGCCCACTTTTGAGGATAGCCGCCATGTAACGGTAATTCCCCCATTATACGATATTTTTGGGTATTAGTATTGATATTTCGGTATTAATCGATATCGGTCCTCTTTTAATGATAGCCACCAAATTGGGTAAGTTTTGAACCGAATTGGCTTTGATTTGTTCCAAATTTACCATGGTGCATGGTCCATCATTTATGGTCGCCCTGAACGATTACTGGCGTATTGGCTTTGATTTGTTCCAAATTTACCATGGTGCATGGTCCACCATTTATGGTCGTCCTGAACGATTACTGGCGTTTTAACGTGCACATTAACGACGTTTTTACTTGTTCTCAATTCAATTTCAAACTGTTGAAATGATGTTCGAAAAAAATTAATTATTGTACCGAAGAAGCCAATAATATTTTAAAGTATATTCTGTCGCGTAGCAGGTGTTGGTGTCTGTCCATAAGAGAAAGGTTTATGTGCCCGGCCGAAAACCTCGAAGCCACAACATTTTTTATATATTCAAGATATGGTTTTCCCTTGATTTGGTTAGTTCTGTAGCTTCCCCTTATAATGTTAATGGAACAAAGTCAAATTTCTGTCTATGAATATCGTCAAATATAAACTTGAGTTATTTCACCCTTAAAGCCAGCCATTCTTGCTAGTTTCCAAACCAGTTGTTCCTTTCTTTTTGTTGACAGTCTATAATAAATATTGAAATGTTTTGTCATTAATTGAATGCTATGCTTAATCTGGTACATATGTCATTTTACCTGCATTTTGTGGTTCTCTTTTATGGAAATAAAATAGCTTAACATTCACCCGACCACTTCAAATTAGTCAGTCCTTCGTTGAATGAAAAAAAAAACAAGGCATTAACAACCCTAATTGATTACCACCCCCAACAAAAACAACAACAAAAAACATGACTTCGTGGAAAGAGAAGAATTGTAGCCACGTTATAAAAAAAGCACACACACATTTTCGTATCAAGGAAAACATATAAGGACATACGGTTGTCTTAACATGTCACCACTCCCCACCACTACCATTCTTGTATCCTGAAAAATGGGAGACGAAAAATTCTGTCCAAAAAAAAAACAATTCACCCAATTTCACATGTCTCCCTCCATCACACTTCCTCATTTACCTCTTTAATCTGGGGATATTTCTTTTTGGTTTCCAAAGAAAGTGTTTTGAAATCCGCTCTCAATGCTTCAACAAATTTTTGCACGGATTCCGCATTGCCACCGGTGGCAGGACCCGTTCCCGTCGTACGCACGAAAGACATACTTGAAGGTTTTTTTGTTTGTTTTTCACTTTTTCCTCGATAGGAGCCGCAGTTCTTTTCGGGGGGTTTTGTTCTTTTTTTCTTCTTCTATTCTTCTTGCAATACTTGAATCACTTCTTCTTTTTTGTTCGATTCCAAATTTCTTGTTTTCTCAATTTCTTTTCCGAAATATTTCACTTTATATCGATCATTATACACTTGGATAACATTTATTTGTTTATATTTTCCATGTATTTATTGTTTTAATGCTGGGAAAACTATGTTTTTCCCATCCAATTCGATTCACTTATTTACGTATGAAAAATAAAATTTCTGCTTCTTCTTCTTATTGGGGATTTTCTCATTTGACAATAGGTGTCAGCGATGGAAAAATTACTCAAAAGGTACTCAGTGATGAGTGAGAAAAAATTAAAAACGTTCCATCTGCTATAAATGGTGGAAAAAATAAATGGCCGATAAAGAAGGACCATAAAGCGTTGTACACACTATTACTTTTGAATGACACCATTGTTGAAATTTTTGGTTGTTTGATAGCGACCACCAGGCAGAACAAATGCAGAAAAATATATTTTTTTTATTAATTTTCAATTTATTTGTAATTTATTGGCAAGTCATACAATCGTTGTTTGTCCTGATTTAGATTATGCAAGTTTGCTTGCGGCAATTCTTATCGCTCTCTTTTGACGCTCTCTGCGCCTATACAAGGCAATTCGGAAGTTCGTTATATCCAAGGTAAGGCAAAACCCAAGCTGTATTTAATAAGGTGTAAGTGACAATCATATGGTTTTAAACTTTTTTCTTTATTGTTTGTAAAGTAAATTGTCAAAAATATTTGTCAACTTTTCATTTCGATTTAAAATATTGTCTTTTGTTTTCGATTATTATTTCTTTATTAATAAAAGTGCAATAATAATGAATTTATAGGGACGGAATATTTGTTAATGCCCCAAGTGACGACAAGGAAGCGTGAACTTAAATCAGTTCTAAATCCGGCCGCTGATTTGTTCCACATATTTGCCGCAAGTACAACTTGGGTTCCAAATTGCAAATATACATACATATGTATATGTGTGTTCTTATGATCGATTTAATACCAAAATTTTCCTTAACAATCTGTTGCGTTGTCTGACGATTGCATACGGGTTTGTGGTGTTTGACCGGGGATTTATGTCCTACAATTTTTCGGCTTAAATGCACTTTACGGACACCTCTCAGATCATTTTGAAATTTTTATCATAGGTAGCCCTTCTGATGCTGATTACAGCAATCAGAACGGGGGAAATCAGTACTTCCAATTTTCCACCTGTCCATAGGAGAAAGTCTTAAATCCCCGGCCGAAGGCCGGCTATTTAGAAAAAATTGAAATTAAAAGAGAATTCTGCTCGCGTAGCCCAATTTTCCACCTGTCCATAGGAGAAAGTCTTAAATCCCCGGCCCAAGGCCGGCTATTTGGAAAAAAATTTAAATTAAAAGAGAATTCTGCTCGCGTAGCCCAATTTGCCACCTGTCCATAGGAGAAAGTCTTAAATCCCCGGCCGAAGGCCGGCTATTTAGAAAAAAATTTAAATTAAAAGAGAATTTTGCTCGCGTAGCCCAATTTTCCACCTGTACATAGGAGAAAGTCTTAAATCTCCGGCCGAAGGCCGGCTATTCAAAAAAATTGAAATTTAACTCAATTTGTTGTCGGATAATAAGTAAGGGTAAAAAATGTAGGTTTTTATTACATTTTGATACCCCATATTTCCGGAAGTACGAAGTTCTCCCAAAAAAAAAAAAAAAATTATGTGGTTGTAATCAGGTCCAAAAGGACTATGTGTTGTAAGAAATTTAAACGTTTCGGAGTGGTATTCTTAAATATATTCAATAAAAAGTGGGGGTATTTTTTGAACTTTGGAACCCCATATCTCGGGAAGTACTGATTTCCCCCCGAAAAAATTTATGTTGCTGTAATCAGCATCAGAAGGGCTACCTATGGTAAAAACTTCAAAATGATCTGAGAGGTGTCCGTAAAGTGCATTTGTTCCAATTTTTCTACCAAGAAGCCACTTCTTCGAAAAATATATTGTAATTTAAAATATAAGCAAAATCCCCAAGGAACCAAGGCTTACATGTGGGACACTTTTCAAAATTATTCGACCTGAAGAAATGTATAATTGTTTTTATTTACTTTTGTCAAAACCTATTTGTCAGCATGGCAATTTAATTTCTATAACAACAATGTTGTTTTTGTAAAATATTTGTTGTTGTATCTGATGCATACACCTTATTAAATACACCTTGGCAAAACCTAGGATTATCAGAAAAAATGCACAAGTAAATATTAATTTGTAATTTGTTAAAATATGTCATTCAATTTTATTGTATTTATTTTTCCTTTTATTTGGAATTGATAGACAATTTACAAATTAAAATGGGTTGCCATTATCAATTTCTCAAGTGAGACTACCTTTTATAGTTATGTCATGAATTATGCCAAGTACGGGAACATTAGAAATTTTTGCAGGGTTTTCATATGTTGTTTGTTTTTATGAAAGGTCAAGCGTCAAATAAAAATTATTTATAAATTTATATATATTTTTGTGTTTTTGAGTGGTTTTTGTTTTACTTTCCAAGCGATCACAGGAAAAAAAAACATTTCCATTGTTGTATTTCTTGTTTTCATTTTCAAATTGCAAACAAATATTTTTGGCGCTAATTAATATTTTGTATGTATACTAACAAACATCAGCTGATCGAGATTTAGATCATGATTAAAGATATGTGTAAACAATTAGGGAGAAGGATAGTGATGACCAACCGGTGCTACTATGGGCTGAGCAAACAACTCAAAAGCAAGGCCACCTCGCGCCAGACCAAACTCACACTCTAAAAGACGCTGATACTGCCCATGCTGTTATATGGATCTGAACCATGGGTACCTACGCAAGCAGATGAGGCAGCTCTTGGAGTGTTTGAGAGAAAAATTCTCATAAAGATCTATGGGCCGATCTGCGTTGACTGTGAATATCGCCGTCGAATGAACCATGAGTTGTACCACCTATTCTCGGACATCGACATTGTTGGACGTATTGAGCTGCAGCGACTACGTTGGCTAGGTCATGTTGTGTCTATATTTTCATTAGTCTATGACGAAATGATCTCACCAGTCCTCCCTGAATTGAGTCTGCTGAATGCGCTACTCAATTTTAAATGCTGATTTACTTAAATATTTGAACCTTTTAATTTGGAATGGCACTAAATATAGTTAGTTTTAAGCAAAAACTATAACCTCAGATAAAAACATTAAAGGAAAATAGGCAATTTTCGCCAAAAAAACGTATTTAAAAATGTTTGAGTTTTTTATTTTGAGTCACTTGACCGCACATTTTTTGAGTATTTCGTCGTCTATATCTTCATTAGTCTATGATTTCGTCGTCTATATTTTCATTGGTCTATGTCTATGCTATGGTCTATGTTTCAAAGAATATAAAAATCATTTCACTCAAAATTTAACATTATGTTATGTCACCATATCCATAGACTAATGAAAATATAGACGACGAAATGCTCTCACCAGTCCTCTCTGAATTGAGTCTGCTGAATGCGCTACTCAATTTTAAATGCTGATTTACTTAAAAGTGTGAACCTTTTAATTTGGAATGTCACTAAATATAGTTAGTTTTGATCAAAAACTATATCCTCAGATAAAAACATTAAACAAAAATAGGTCATTTCCCCCAAAAAACGTCTTTAAACAATTTTGAGTTTTTTGTTTTGAGCAGGGACTGAAAATAACAGTTATTTTTTAAAATGCGAACAAAAAAATCTTCATGTTAGAGACATGGGACACCAATAGTGTCATATACCAATAGATTCGTACTGAGGAGCCCATTAAGGATATTGAGTGATCTGGAGAAAACACTCTCAGTTCCCATGTTAAGGATTATTTTTTAACGGAAAAAATAAACGTTGATTTTTAACTGTTAAAAATGATTTTTATTTTTTCCGTCAAAAATAAAAGTCTTTTTGCGATTTTTATTTTTTCCGTCAAAAATAAAAGTCTTTTTGGTACTTTTATTTTTTCCGTCAAAAATAACAGTATTTTTGAGATTTTTATTTTTTCCGTCAGAAAACAAAAGTCCTTTTGGGATTTTTATTTTTTCCGTCAGGAAATAAAACTCTTTTTATGTAAAGAAGTTTATACAACTTGTAATCAGTTATAAAATTACAATTTATAAATCTCTGTCCTTATTACAATAAGTGTACACATAAGTAATCAAGATCAAAGGTAAAAAATATTTGTTATAAATTTTTAAAAAATAGACTAGTGTACCAAATCATGAATATAAATTAAAGAATCATTCCCCTGACTATTAGGTCAATGGTTATATAACTGGTACCAAACTCTATATGTTTATTTACGTAAAAAGACTTTTATTTTCTGACGGAAAAAATAAAAATCACAAAAAGACTTTTATTATTGACGGAAAAAATAAAAGTCCCAAAAAGACTTTCATTTTTGACGGAAAAAATAAAAGTCCCAAAAAGACTGTTATTTTTGACGGAAAAAATAAAAGTCCCAAAAAGACTTTTATTTTTGACGGAAAAAATAAAAATCATTTTTAACAGTTAAAAATCAACGTTTATTTTTTCCGTTAAAAAATAAATAATTAAAGTGGATTTTTTTATTTAGGTCACATAATAACAGTTATTTTTTACCTGATTTGATATAAGTTATAACCGTTACGGTCCCTGGTTTTGAGTCACTTGACCGCGCATTTTTTGAGTATTTCGTCGTCTATATTTTCATTAGTCTATGCCATATCGTGACATAACATAATGTTATACTACACTGACATCTATATTTCATTGGCGACTATCAAATGTCCCCTCTTATATATTTTATGTCTTTTTTAGGTTTTTGGACATGAAATGTGGGAATTATGACAACAAGATGGCGCAGCAATGTTCATTTTTTATCTCACCGCGAGTTGAAGTAGCTTTCACACAAAAACAGCCGT